CTCTAGGGCGTCGACAAGATTTTTCAAAGTGATCAAAGACAATAACTCGAACAGTAAGTATCGTAAATCGTTGGAAATCAAAAGGCTTCCTCATCTCTGGACCTTAAACATTGTGTATAAATCTATAGTCAATCGGATACCAACTTTAGCCCCCCTAGAGCGTCCACAAGGTTTTTCAAAGTGATCAAGGACCATAATGCTGGCAGTAATTATCGGAAATCGTTGAAAAAATCAATAGGATTCTTCATCTCATGACCCTAAACACTGTGTATAAATCTATAATCAATCGGATTTCTAACTTTAGCTTTCAAAGTGATCAAGGGCAATAACTCTAGTAGTAAAGATCAGAAATCAATAGGATCCTCCGTCTCGTGGCCTTAAATATTGTGTATACATTTAAAGTCAATCGGATATAACCTTTAGCCTATGGAGCGTTCATAAGATTTTTCAAAGTGATCAAGGGCCATAACTCTGGAGGTAATTATCGGAAATTGTTTAAAATGAATAGGCTTTTGTGTCTCATGACCTTAAACACTATGTATAAATTTCAAGCCTAGTACTGAATACATGAAAGAACCAATAGAAATATTGAAGCATAGTAATAGTATACAAAGTAGAAAAGTCAAACGTTTCTTTTGATTTAACATAATCTTTATGGGGTTTTTTTTCAAGGTGTCCACAATGGCTTTCCTTTTGTCAATAAAAATAATTTGTTACATTCTTAGTTTTAGCTATTCAAGCAATGTTTCGGATGTAAGAGATTTAAGAAACGAAAAACAATCGAGTTCTTTGAAACTTGATAAATGTAAATCAATGTTTCACATTTTTATACAATAATTAATGACATTTTATTTGTTTTGCACCCAGTTCAACAGTTGTATAATAAAAACAAATGCATACATCTTGTGTCTCAATAGGTCAAGCAACTCGTAAAATTTTGTTATAAATAATAATTAATAAAATCGCCTATATACAAAGAAAACCAAAATCCCACTACAATTTGGGAAAGTGTGGTATTAAAAGCGGATAAATAAATTAATAATACAGATATAGCAAGTTTATGCAAAATAGACAATAAGTGATAATTTTGGATTTTAATAGAAAAGAGGTGGCATAAAATTAATTGCATCAGGAGAATAAATGGGACTTTGATATTAGCAACAGAAATTCATATTTCGATTACTAAAAGGGAGCCACGGTGATGCAGGATGAATGGAACAAGGTTGAGTCGTTTGGATTGGATAACAAACCTAAGTACCGTGTACACATTGGGGTGCGCGTAAAAAAAACCTTGGCAGTTAGAATTTGGCATAACTGTGAGCCGTAGTGCCGCTGTCAAGGCGAAATTGCCCTCATAGCACACTGTATTGCGTATGTTCGTCTCCCTTAACCCAGCTTGAGTTGAACAGTAACCCCCATTTCATTTCATTTCGCATACTAAACATATCCGAACTCAATTTTAATTGCCTTTTTTTCACACATTTTATTTCTTTCCTGCCCACCCATATGAACCCCTTTGACTTTGCGGACCCTAAAAATAATTTCACGAACCCTAGGATGGGAAAAACTGTTCTAAAACATATATTTTTCTAATCTACGTCCTGTAATTGGGCCCCTTTATCAATGACAAAAGCCTTTTTAATCACTGATTATATATAATCATTGATTAAATGTTTAATTATAATCAAAGTTTAAACATGAATTTTAATCGTTGATTACAAAAAAATTATAGTCAAAGATTAACTAATCTGGCTTTTGAGAATACCAACCTTAGTCAACCACTAACCTCTAACTAGCTAGTTACTGATTAGACCTAATCACAGATTATTTTAGACACTGTTCGAAAACATGGGCCTAAGAGTTTAAATCTATACGCAGTGAAATCCCATCGAATCATATCGATATATCTCATAGACATAGCCCATTTCAACATAAAAAAAACCCGGGCATCATTGTGAAATTTCTCTCACGTAAGGACAAAATAGCAGTAATAGGAAATTGTAAATTACTTAAATGATCAAAGATTGTTATCAGGGAGATCTTAACTAGCTTAAACGCTGATCTGTTGTAAACAACTTCAAATGCGCACGGCGTTATCAGTGCTTGGTCAACAGAAGGTATTATCTGGGCTAAACTTTTTAATAATAAGATCATCAAAGTCAGTCATCGTATGGATCTAAATAACAGATCTTCGTGTTAAATGAAGCTATTTCACACACACACGAAAAGATTCACATGTACTCGGTAGCTATTATTGTAATTCTCCAGTGGTTTAACACTATTAATATTCACTTTGTATGTAATGACATTGTCTTATCATCATAATGTAGCATGCCATGTTATGTATAATGTATACATGTATGTATATAACTATGTATTAAAAATTTCGGTGGTAATTGTAAATATTTTAGATTATACTGGGAGAAGATTCGTAAATTGTATATAATTTGTTCTGATCCCGTTTGTATATACGCATATTCCTATATGTATTTGCAAATAAACCATAATAATTATATTTAAAAAAAAAATGATCTTCAAATTTATTTGAGATCCATTTGAATTCAGTTTCCCAATATATACTTTCGTGTGGAAATATCATATAGTTGTAATATTAAGTATTGTATGGTCGAGAGCGAGACATTAAGTAATATATTGTAACAACAAGAGGGCCATAGGCCCGAGTGTTTTTTAGGCCCGAGTGTTTTTTTACAATATATTACGCAATGTTTTAAGTTCGAGACCATTAAACGACTTAAAATACAGACACTCCGCACGTGTTTTTACAGTGAAATAAGTCACGCGAGTCCAATATTTTACTAGTATAAATAATGTACGATTGACAAGTTGTCCGTACGATTATTTGAAATAATGGTACGCCAACATCAAAGGGTGACGTCATATCTATATTTTAAGGGAAAATAAATCATAGATTTCATTATTACACAACATCGACCAGTGGGTGTATTAGTCCTGCACTACCAACCGCCATCTTTCAGGTGGACTAGATCATGGCTGCTAAGTTAAAATTTGTAGATGTAAACTTACCTTCGTTGGGGTATGCCGTAAGATAATTTGTTGGCAAGAGATAATATGTTTTCCAAGTAATATGAACATGTATTGGGATTGTTACTTATACATTAGGGACGTAATTGTTGGAGAAATATATCCTTTAAATAACAGAGGAAAATTAACTGTGTTGGGTTCGATTGCTCTTTTAATCTTTTAAGATTGGATAAAACCAATTTTGTTTCGAATACGCGATAGTTTAAAAATTATCGTTTATTCGAAATAAAATTGTATATATCTAATGTTTGGTACGGATGGTATATTTTTATTTCAACACTTTACCAGTAGGTGGAACCTGGAGGAAAGTCACTAGGTCAGGGCGTCGGCCTCTCTCCTTATCACATACAAGATTATGTGGTATCGAATCAATGACCTTATGATCTACAATGCTCGCGTTATGACACATGAAATAGCTAATAAGTAAAGACATTTGAATGCAAATGTCTGATTTAAAGACAGATACCTTTACGGGATATGATCTATTACATAGTTTATTTAGCCTTTTCCGGGAGATAATTGTCTTTCGGCAAAGATCTTCGTTTAATTACAAATTTTACCTAAGGAAACGTTGTTTATACAATATTTATTTTGAGATACGGTTCACTGAATCATTGTCCAATGTAATTTAAATGCAATGGCATTTATCTGGGCTAATGAAGGCGGACATGCGCTAATAATGTGCTATGATGGAAAGTTTGGTCGGACAACGGCGTTTCGTCATTCTCTTCACGGAAAGTAGGAACTCTGGACCTTCTGGTTGGAGAGCCATTGCCATACTGACTGAGTCATCGTGACTCTTGGTTGTCCAAAGTTATATTCAATTATTGTGAAATCTTAGTATGCATTGAATAGGTCGTTATCAGATCCTAAGCCCTAAATTGTTACCAAATTCAAATTGTAATTATTACAATGTGTTAAGTAAGAGCTATTACGCATGACGTATGTGGTTATTGCCCACATTACGTGAACTATCTTTTATCCCTATTAGAAAGAAAACTGCCAAATAAATGCAGCTCAAATTATTTTTTATGTTCAGATATTTTATGTACGTCAAGGGAGAAATTTAAAAGAGAATTAAAGACAAAGTATTCTCCGGGCTATGATTTGATATTTTACGATGCATAATAATGGTTCAATTGGAATCTTCTGGGAGATATCTTCAACAAACATCGTTATCCATTTAGACATATTGCATATCATGCAATCGTCGCACAAAGTCACACAGGGAATTATATGATACGTACAATGGGTTAATTACCCACGTCAAACTGTACATGAGCGTATTATATTAAGTGATTTTTATATGCACCCACATTTCATGAATACCTACATCAAACTATACAGTTACATACTTTGGGGTTGGGTCGTTGTGCATTCACTTTGGATCATAAAGTCTGCCAGTGAGTCAACCGGCGTGGTTTTGATCCCAAACTTGTAAGTGACAAGGAGTAGGGTTGCATCACATGTCCATTCGGTTTCCTCCCACTGCAAGCGAATTGGTAAAATAATATTGTACAATGGGCTTTAGTGCCCTCGAATTTTCATTTTGTGCCATCCGAACACCTTAACACACATTTTTCAAAGTCCCAACTTTTCCCCTGACACTAGAAACTGAGCCTGAAACAAACTGATGGATCTTCTCGGCCCAATATTGTGAATCCTATATGTCCACCGACACAGTAAGAACCAGCCAATCACAGCACTCCGTTCGCTGGTCCAGCGAAGATGAAGTATCTGTTCGCAAATAAACCGATTAGAAATTCATGATTTTGATAGAGACAACATACACTATTTTTGTATAAAATGTTTTGTATACACTATTTTTGTATAAAATGTTTTGTATACACTATTTTTGTATAATGTTTTGTATACACTATTTTTGTATAAAATGTTTTGTATACACTATTTTTGTATAAAATGTTTTGTATTTCCAGGTTGTAAAGATGATGATTATTGTAGTCTGTTCCTTTGTTTTGTGTTGGCTGCCATTACAAACTTATAATCTACTCAACGTCTTATACCCAGTCATCAATGAGTAAGTATACAAGAACGATTTACATTTTCTGGAATCCATATTATATTGCCAGATTCCGCGTAAGATACAAGTCCGTTGTTCGTTCGTAAGATTTTACGTCAGCTTCCACCTTGGGTGATATCGTAGACATAGTACATAGAAATCTGGAATCCAGATTGATTTTTAAGAAAACTAGCATGCTCTGTTTTTTTCGTCTGAGTCAGTGATTCTCAACCAGTGTGTCGCGCCACGCTGCGAGATCTTTCTAAGTGTGCCACGAAAGTTTAAAAGGTAAACTAAGAAAATGCGAAAAACCACGTGATCCCAATTGAGTATTCACTGGTGTCTACTGGTAAGTTCATAGCTGTGTTTTCTTTATTTAGTTTGACTCATTCTGTGTTTCTATGACTAGTCTGTGTCTACGGTTGTATGTCGTCTATGACTTGCCATATTTTCATTTTTCAAAATTCAAATATTTTTCATATATATTTAGCCAGGTGTGCCGCTATTTTTTTTTCATGTGTTCCAAGGTGTGCCATTGGCAAAACAAGGTTGAGAACCACTGGTCTGAATGACCACCATTTTGAATCCGAAGTATCCACACGACACGGCCATAAAATATGCAAGAAAAAAAAGCCAAAATGGATAGAATAGAATATATATATTCGTTTGACATTTAGCAATTAAACACATCATAATATTATAATTCTCAAGACTCGCTTCGTCATGGACAAAGAGGACGCACTGTACTGTTAGGCATATAATCACTTGAAATGTCTTGCAACTATCACGAATCATCTTTGATGGCATACGAAATGCGCCAATTGATATGAACGAACACTGGAATTCATTATTAGTTTTTCTCTATGAAATTATTAATCTTAGTAAACCGCTGTTGTTTCAGACTAACAGGGATAGTTCGGCTAGCCCTTAGTGGATTCCTATCGAGCTGCGGCTAGTCGCAGCAATTTGTGGATGCCTCCTTGAACACTCAAGTTTTAGCCTTTTGATAATTGTCAGAACAGTAAGGCAGGCAGGATTGTGTGTCAGTTTTTGTTGGTTCGACATTTTTGCGCATTTTGTCATGGATTCTTTCTCTGGTATATAATATTACATTATAAACTGTTCAAAAGCTGGATCATTTACCTTTCCAACGATGCATCTCGGACATTTCCACAACTCGTGTGTAAAAAAACATATTGATAGTGAATTATTGTTTATCGGTTTATTTTCACTATACATATTAGCTGATTTCCATTACTTGCCTCCGACGTTAATGCGCATCATAAATCTTGCGGGTGTTTGCCTGGCAAATTATCTTTAAATTCCAATATCAATTGCACATCTTTTAGATTTCGCAATCGCAGATGATAATAATCTGATTTCAAGATAACGCACATAACAATCGTATAAATCTTTTAGGTCGATTTGGTAAACGAACAGATTACTTTTTTTTCAATTAAGCTATAGGAGGCATTAATTAAATGACGGTTCAATCACTGAGATATTCTTTTCTTATTTTCTATCGTAAAATAACGAGAAAATGACATTAATACCATAGCTAATGTGGTGTGAATCTCTTGTGTACAAAACAACTCGATGAAGTTAGAAACTCGTAAAACGATAATACTCCCCCTAATGACACATTAAGATGGACAAAGAAAAATGTTTTAAACCCGCTTTTCTCGATTATTTCCTCATTTGTGTAAAGTGGAGGTTATCATTATTCTTTCTTTAGTCAGCATTGTTTCACCAATGTAGGGTATATTTCATTCGATATAAAAATCCTTAGTACTTCAGCCAAACGAACGGAAAATCGTTTTCCAATTGTTAAATGGGGTAATCTATCAATTTACTGATAGATCTGTACAACTGACAAGGATTTGTTGCAACGTTTAGTAAAAACATTAATTTTGTACTTTTATACAATTGAAATGGTCATAATATAAATAGTGTAATTATTATGCTTTTGGTCAAAATCTAGAAAAATATTTATATGTATTATTATAGGTTAGTAGCAAATAAATTTGCTTTTAACTAAATGGATTAATCGATATTGAAAAGTTCATGCAAGAATGGCCTAGTAGATTGGCCATTCTTCAATTGTAGGGAAAAAAGCCAATGTATACTATATGCCATGTTGATTAATTCCACTTTCGTAACGCCAGCAACGCCAAATTTTATTAATGGCCAACATTGATTACAGTTGTTAGTTCAATATTTAATTTGTCGAAAAATTATCAACTGATGATTACTGTGAGTACATCGGGGCTAACATCTAGTCTGCCAATAATTCGGTCTTCTATCTCTTCAGTTTACTGGATATTATCTGCTGCACAATCAGTAGGACGTTAAACCCCATTTCATTTCATTTTATCTGCTGCACAAGGTCGCCGGCAAACGAGAACACAATACGCGAAAATGTCATAGCTTTCCAGTTCAGATCGCAGAACCTTGGCGTTTGTTTTGAACATGCTCAAAACAAACGCCGTGACTCGGCAATCATTGGCGACCATGGTGACCACAGCACGATAGCTGGCGTTTCCACCACGCTCTGGTCTGACGGGGGTATAACGGAACGAATCTTTATCAAGAAATTATTGTATGACACAACCGAGAGTTCTGCTTTCTTGTTGAACAGTAGATGGAATTAATATCACAATGACTATCCACGTGTGTTTCTGATTGATTAGGTATTTCACAAACGGGGGCCACGATGGATCAGTGAGTAAGACACTGGCTCGCTATCCTGGTGGTCGCGAGTTCGCCAAGAAAGTTCATCGTGATTAAGGACAGCTGTCTAGTCGTCCGGATGGGACAAAAACTAGAGATACCGTGTACACCTTGGCGTACACGTACAAGAACCTTTGACAGTTGGTATTCGAAATAAGAGTACGCTACAACGCCGCTGTCAGGCCAAAATGTCCGTCATAGTACACTGCATGGCGTTTGCCCGTTTTCATTAACCAAGGAGCAGACCAACGGGCCGTTAAGTCCCATTTCATTTCATTTCGTGTTTCATACATACATTTAATTGTAGAAATCACAAGTGATTCGGTGGTTCCCTTTTACCAAGTGAAACTTATTTTTGGTCTTAAGCAGTTTAAAATTCAGTCCTCATTTTGGAATGGTTTTTGAGTCCTTGTATCTTTGAATAAACCACCATATCCATGTTATCGACCCTATCCAGATTTATTTGGTGCCAGGATGGCGAAGGTGCAAGATAAAATTAAGGAAGGGGAACAAAATCACAGTGCTATATGTGTTCCGAACGCAATGTTAAACAAAAATACGACAATGGTGATAATTCAAACTGGTGAATTTTTACATAACCCCGCAAAATAGCGAATTGGCCACGTAACAGAATACACCGGATGTAATAAACCCGCGTGATCCTGCATTAACTTCTCTGACCGCATGATTGTTTTCCCCAATCATTAGGATATTGGATCTTTATATAAGCATCGATATTAAGCAACATGTATAAGGAAAAATAATTGAGTTTAGGTATTATATCCCTTTAAACTGGTTTGGTATTTTTGACAATGCCTACGTCAATTGTATACCTGTATTGTTGATGCACTTAAGAACACTTGGTACTATATTTACTTTGTCCATTTATATTTATAATTTAATTAACACTACCCTCTGCTAGTAATTAAATGCAAACATCCCATTTAGAAGGCGCATTAAATATGTTACTGCTCTACTTTTGAACGTCTGTTAATGGGTGTTTAAAATGTATCAGATTAAATCACATTGCGAAATGAATAGTAAATAGCGTATGTGGGGAAACAATAAAAAAACCAGGTCAACAATTACTCAAAACATATAAATCAGACATATGAATTAAACTGGCTAGACCTCTTGGTTTTGGTTCAATTGGTTCAACTGTCGAAACAGTAAGCTAAGATATGCTTGAGGTATAGCCGTTTTAGACTTTCCCTTAATTTTTCTAAACATTTAATCGTATAAAGCATGTTAAGTCACAAATCGAAATACATATACCAGATCAACCTAATTAGGTGGGTAGATATAACAATATGATAGGGGGGGGGGGCCTAGAACAAACTGCAACAGAAATCATTTCTTTGGGAACTGTTCAGGTATGGTCTCTAGTACTCCCATAACAAAAGCGGCCATTATCGGTCTTGGGGAAATTTGCATAAATAACTTAATTCCAAGATGGCCGCCAGTGGACTAGAAAATCGACGAAATCTCCGAAACGGTTGGCTTTAGTGCAACTAAATGTATTACCGACCTATAGGAAATCGATACTCCCGAGTTCAAAATTGCCGACATTTTTTTCCTACTACCTTATCGTAACCAAAGCCCTATATAAGGAAAGTTACGACAACTCATTTCCAGGCGCCATTTTGGATCCCAACTATGACGCCAGAAAAACCATGGCGTCATACAGCTTTACTTATCATTACAAAACGTTTTATTTACTTCATGCAGCATTATATAGGTGGGGAAAGATATAACGTTTTACCTTAAACAAATTGCACCAATGCAGTTTGGTTCAATGATAAATATGTCAGACAAAATTATACTCAAAATCGGTCGAATTTGGCCAAGGTAAAATGACGTAATCAACATAATTCAATATGGCGGTCTTCAGGAATTTTCGGAGAGCGACATCTCGCAATCAATGTGTTTCAGTGGTGGAAGAATAAATAATTTTTTAATTCCTCAAACACAGAACGATTATGCAAGCCAAATGTGCCGAAAAGTCGAATTTGACAAATATCAATTAAACAAAATGTGGTGCCGAGCAGTTCTTTCAAAGTGGCTGCCAAATTTGGAAATATAATGCAATTTTTTAAAAAAAACAACATAAATAATATGGTAATAAAAGGGCAGCGATAATTTCGTAAGATATGACTTTTGCTATGACTTTTATATGGTTTTCGATGTCCGAATTAAAAGATAAATTTCTAAAATCCAAAATGGCAGCAACACAAATCGGCTGATGTTAATTTAATCGTCATTTTTCCTTGTTGGATATTACTTGTAAC